AAAGCTTGAATCACTAAATCCACTTTATGTTGATTTTGATGTTAATCATCACTGTATTTCTTGAAAAAAGGATTGTAGTAAAATTGTCAATGTGACAATCCATGCGATGATGTGATCATACAATGTGTTCATAGTCATTCGTAATAGTGATTATTGGTCCAATATACAATGGCAAAGCTCTCAGTCTCAGCGTTTCTTCCTGTGGGTGGCCAGTAGTGACTCAGAGCTTAGAGTTAGAACTAGAAGTATTAGTTTTCTTCACAGGGCTGGGATAAAAAGTACTGAGGGTAATCTTCCACCAAGGAACTCTACTTTGACATGGTATGAGATGTAGACACAAGTAGGTAGGTGCTTAGTTCCTATAGTCAGTAGTTGTGTATGTTTAGTCAGGTTAGCTTAGATTAGATTGTTAGTTTTTTAATTTGCCAAGTGCCCATAAAAATGTGACCTGAGCAATGAGCATACCTGACTAACCTGACATCTGACCTAACCCCAATCATCACACATATTTGCAGCCCACCCAAGACCTGCATTGGCATAGCAGTAGCACCCAGTTATAGGTAGGTACTCACCCTAACTCAATCTTACCTGCTAACCTTCAACTTGCCAAAAGTTAGCTCACATTGCCAAGCTGCATCCAGGGAAACAGTCAACTGAGGAACTGGCTCATTGGGTGGCTGGTGGGAGTCTGTGCATTTAAAGTGTTTCTTCTCTGAAGCTGCTCTGCACTGCTGTATGTCATGTTAGATGCTCAGAAAATGTGGGAAATGATAACTAAGCTACTTCAGTGCTTTGTTTATGCTCGATACATGAACAAGTACAGATCCTCCTGCAGGGTACAGCTATGAGTTAGGTGCTAGGTGAGTATGTTATGTGAATGTGCTGTTTCCTGTTTAACCATAGTAAGTATACAAACAAGCACAGGGTCACAGTTATATTCAATCTCCACATAAACATACAACAAAAACGGCCATATAGCCTAACTCCGAAGTCCGAACACACCACAGATGACTTAAGCCTTTGCAGGCACAAAAATGTTTTGATTAACAGGACAGGTGCTTATTCGCTTCATATTTTGTAACAAACGCGCTAAAACTGCAATATAACACCACTATATGCTTCTTGACAAAATGCAATAGTAGTAAAATTTAGCCCTGATGACATTCATTCTTGGTGGAAACGTAATTACAAAATATTTTGTAGTAACTATTAAATTCCGGCCGAAAACAGTGCGCGGTTTAAAAAAGAATCATTCCAATGACGGTCCATTCTTGCGGTCCTGAAATCGCCACTATTTCCGGCCTCTCCAACGCAACTCGTTGTCCAGACGTAAATATGCAGAACGCATTCAGTGCACCGACTACATGAGCAAATTCGTATCAGTGACGTCAAACGGATCTAGTTTGGCTCTCGGCCCGATGCGCATTACAAACGGAATAGCATACAAATGTGGCGCACTTCCGTAGCAATAGAGGTGACTAAATTAAAAATTTATTATCTTATGTCTTTTTTGCATTTAATCTGCTCAAAACATTCTCAATTAACTTAACAAAAAAAAGTTGAACATAAAATTGTCTTGCTTTGACTCATTGGGCAATTGCCTCTCTTGATTCGTCTGTAGTGCTGTCGGAAAAAATGTTTCAGCTGAAATTATGTGGATATTTACTATTTGGTTTTCACTATATTTATTGTTGAAAACTTGACAAAATACCGACATATTTTTTTGAATATTATTTCAAAAGAAGAAAATGAAAAAAATATCTATTATTTTGCATTTTAATGTTTCTTTTTGCGAAGAAATAGTTCCTGTAATACGTACCTATCTTGGTCCTATTCGCTTCTAAGCCTCTTTCCCAGCGGATTTTGTTCGGAGTCGGACCGCCGATTCGTATTAGCAGGTGGATACATGAGTCGGTAGTACGCTCCTGATTCGCATTAGCGGTGAATCCGATCGTGATACGTATTTGCTTTGCTCATGTAACCGCGGATCGGATCGCCGATTCGTACTAGCAGGTGGCTACATGAGTCGGTAATGCGTTCCTAATTCGAATTAGCGGCTAAATACGTATTTACTGTGCTCATGTAACCCCGATAATTGTCATGGAAATGGCTGGGGCCCGTTTTTCAAGTGACTCAATCTGGACGCCACAGTAAACCGATAAAATGCACTAAAATAGTACCTTCCGAACGGAAATTGAATGCTCTTCAAGGAACTGGGCTCAGAATTTGGATAGGGCCTTTAGTTTTTTCTCTATTTTGAAATGAAATCGAAAAAAATGTCAAATTTTTACAAAATTTCAATATTTTATTTATTTATTTATTTATTTATTCAAATAAATCGCCAACAGGCTCATGGCCCATTAACAGGCGAAGTCATACCACAACATAAAATACACACACAAGGTAGACACTAACCCGAAGACACGCACTCATTCGCAATTAGATGACACTTAAAAATACAGAGATCCATGAAAGAGATCCATTAAATAATAGGATATAATATAAAAGTACACAGTAAAAATAAAATTAAATTAAAAGAAAAAACAATAAGAATAGGAAAAGTACAAATAAACTTTAAAATCTCTAAGACACGGTCCTCAAAGGCATGTTCCTGCAGTGGACCACGACGAATGATTTAAAAGAGATAAAGGTACCCGACGTGAAATCCACCTGAGGATTCCTGGCGATAAAATCATTTGCCTGGGCCGCCAGCCTTGTAAAAGTTCCTGTCTTTACCGTCGAGACTCGAGCAAACGGCACATTAAACAACTGGACGTTCCGTGTTGAACGACTTGGTACATGTAGTGCGTACGAGGCTAATAAAAAAGACGAGTCGATGCGTCCAGAGTAAATGCTTTTCAGGAATAAAAGATCGAACTGAGTGCGCCGCGCCTCGAGTGACGAAACATGGAAGAAGTGTAAAAGATGACAGTATTCCAGGCAAATTGATCTGTCCGTGCCACCGGCCCGAGCTGCTAACCAAATTAGGAATTTGTGCTGGACTCGTTCTAACCGTTTTAAATGAACTTTGGCTGCGCCAGACCACACAACACTACCGTATTCAAGAATAGATCGGACGTTTGCGTAATATGTTGCTATCAGAGCCCTCTGATCAAGTTTTTGTCTGGGCAAGCCGGTCTGGAAAGATCTGAATAGCTGTCCGAGGGCTCTGTTTGCTTTTGCTATTGAACTGGTAATATGAGCCGAAAACGTTAGTTTAGAGTCCAGCACAATTCCAAGATCGCGAACTTCTGCGACACGCTGAAGGGGGAAACTGTTGACAAGGTAGGTGTGTAAGATGGGTGCTCTTTTGAGAGTGACCGTGAACGAAAGGCACTTCTGAGCGTTGAGAGAAAGACACCAATCGGTGGACCATTTGCAAATGTTGATGAGGTCGGTTTGAAGGAGGCCGCAATCAGCAGGAGTTGAAATTTGCCGGTAGATTTTGACGTCGTCCGCATACATGACGCATTTGGACGACGACACAACCGTCGGCAAATCATTGATGAAGAGAGAAAAAAGCAAAGGGGCCAGAAGGGCCCCTTCCGGAGCTCCGGATTTTACTTTAGCCCACTCAGAAGTTCTTCCATTCACGATCACTCTCTGCTCTCTCTCCGACAGGTACGAGACGAACCAATCCAAAATTTTGCCGCTAATACAGTAAGACTCGGATAGTTTGAACAGGAGTAATTTATGATTAACACTTTGGAAAGCCGCAGAGAAATCCGTGTATATTGTGTCCGTCTGGCACCCGTCGGAGATCGAGCCCCAGGCAGTGTGAAGGTAGGTGGTAAGGTTGGTGATACAGGATCGGCCAGGCAGGGCAGGAAACCGTGTTGTGCTGGGGATAGCACTGGGGCAGCGTGTCGCAGAAGCTCGTCAACAACAATTTTTTCAATAACCTTGCCAAAAAGTGGAAGAAGAGACACAGATCGATAATTTCGGGGATCTTTTTTGTCACCCTTTTTGTGTATCGGCACAATGTTTGCCTGTTTCCATTTGGATGGAAAAATGCCTTGTCGCAGTGACATGTCGCAGAGTTTGGCCAGTGGCACGGACAGCTCTGAGGCACACTCATGAACAATACGAGCACTGATCCCGTCGGGCCCGCATGCCTTGGTTGCTGGTATAGATTTCAGAATCGCACACACTCTGTCCGCGGATACAGCGATACGGTTCAGGGCCGGCAGGTCGTGTCGCGTTACAGCGGGGTAGGTCGACACGTTGGGATCAGTGAACTTAGATGCGAATACCCTGTTCAGTAGGGAGGCTCTGCCAATATCGTCTGAGATGAGCGTTTCACCGTCTCTTAAAATTGGGTGTAAAGATCCCGTTTTACTAAAACATTTCAGAAACAAATTTTCTTACTTTAACATAGATTTATAACGTTATTTTTACACGCAAATATGCAAAACCGGATATCATTCGAAAGCTTGTGGCATAGGAAGGGCGATGAAAGTTACCGCGAGTCGATTACTCAATTACACCGGACACAGTGGGCCAAAAACCGGATTTCGGGGCCAAAAATCGAAAATCGTCTCTGAAAACCGGAAAAGCATTTTCAGATCAAAACAAATGCCCATTTCGGTTATAATGGGACCCAATGAGTCCAAAAAAATCGGTCGTTACTCAGGAACAAAATGACTGTTGCATAGTGTAATGCGAACAGGATTGCAACGTCGTTGACGAGAACATAATGGATGTCTTAGGAGAGTTACAGATACCTACTCTAACCTTATGCCTACGGACATCTTAGCTTACGAAAGGTCACCAGCACTTCTCAGGAGAGCAGCCCCTCCACCACAGTGTAAGTCAGTTCACCAATGCTACCGGGCGGCCTTGCTTTGCCGCCCTCCCACCCCGATCGAAAGGTGCACTGGCGGCTGCTTTCGATCAGTCTTCACCCAATGCCTTACCTGCACGACCCGCTCCACTGCGCGCAGCGCCGCCCCTCCTGTGACGTCACACACACGGGCCGTGACGTCACCGACCACGGCCGCGCCCGCGGCGGCGGCGGCGGTGACGGTGGTGGTGGTGCAGTGGCGAGCGAGGCAGCGAAGGGGAGTGGTGGTGCGAGGCCTCTGTGTCCGTGTAAAGGCGTCAGATCGCTGTCTGACAGCGCCCGGTGGCTCTGTGTATCTCGTGTGACAGCTGCGCGGTGTGTGTGAGTGCGGTGCCCCGACTGTTCGCGATGCTGGGGTAGGAGCGGTACCCGTGCGCTGCTGGCTGCCGCCGTCACCGGACAGTGATCAGGTATGGCCGCCGCGCGCCGGTAATGGTCGGGCGGTGGGAACCAGCGCCGGCCGACGGCTGGACCCGCCGATCGTCCGGCGGGGTCTTTGTCCTCCGTCGAAACACGGACAGAGCCCGGCGCCCTCATGAGTGCATTGGTCAATATTCAGTTCGGTATCCGCCCGGTCGGGAGCGTAAGAACAATGCCGTCCGTCCCCACCGACCCCACAGACTCAGGTCGTATTGTCCTTTTTGTATTCGCCTGCACTTTTACGTTAGCAGGAGTCCGCTCAATCGGGTATCAGCTACGCACTGAGCGCTGAGCAGGGGTATGCAATTCAATCATTGTGATGCTTTATTGCCGCTCCCAGTTTGCTGCGGGAGGTCAGTGCACGGAGATAAATAATCGCTCAGAAACTGGACTTCGGTGCCATTTATTCGGCCATCTAGATTCACTGCGTGATGCTGACTGGGGAAATATTAACGTTTTACGGCTGTTTTATCTGCCCATACTCTGGCATAAAAGGTGGACAGTCCAATTACGCTATGAAGTTCAATTAATCAATTCCATAAAAATCTGTCTTTTTAATAAATCTCCTGACCTTGTAATGTTTCCGTGCGATTTGCCAAATGCCAAAGTATCCCTTCCAGGAATGGCCTAATGCGTACCACTTCGTTCAAACTCATTTTCGGTGAAATCGCGCCCGCTATTTCCTTGTTTAGTCCGTGAGCACCCGGCAAAGCGGAGTTGCAGGCGGGCCGACTGCAGCCAGTGCTGTTCCGGCTGGCCCGGCTGGTGACAAGGCCAGCTCGCTCGGCCAAGGAAAGTCGCCATCGAAAGGAACTCGCCGTCGCGGTGTCAGCAGCGTTTGGGCCGAGCCGGTCGGCTCAGTGGCGGTGGCGAGGAATGTATCGTGCTCAGTGCGCGGGCCTGCCGTGGACCCGGTCGTGGCGGACTCAAGGTCGCGCCCGCCGCCTCTGCCGCCGCCCTCGGTTCACTCGCTCGTCACCTGCCCGGCTCGAGGTTCGACCTAGCCGCAGAGGCTTCGTGGGCCGTGGGTCGTGAGTTGCAGGCCGTGAGCCTTGAGTCACAAGCCGTGAGTCGCGGAACAATAATGGTGGATCAAGAGTCGAGAGCGTGAGGCTTGGGCTTAGTCTGATGAATTATCGGCCCTAGAAAGGCGGCAGTGCACCAGCTGATGTCATATCAGGGCGTTCCTGTCTTTAGCAGCCATGTGTGGAAGCCTGCCATGGCTGCACATTAGGTAATGCCGGCGGTCGCACAATGCAAAGTTTTGATAACGTTTATCCAACCAGTGCTGACATGCCGTGACCCGTGACCCCGTGGAACGTTTGATGGTTATATCTGGGTCAGGCTAGGTCATGCGGCACTCCCTCAAGTAGAGGTGGGAGTCGAGGCTGGCGAGAATCTCTAGCTCTCTCTCTCCCTCTTTCTCTCTCTCTCTCCCTCTCTCTCTCTCTCTCTCTCTCTCTCTCTCTCTCTCTCTCTCTCTCTCTCTCTCTCTCTCTCTCTCTCTCTCTCTCTCCATCTCACTCCCGTCTTTCTTCTCCCCTCGGAACTGTGTAAAGAACACGAAGTCGAGGTCCTCACCAACACTCGAGGACAGCCGCGCCATCCGCTGTCACCGACACCGCTAAGAAAACAGGCGACCGTCTCCTCTCCCACCAGTGACCTCCTCAGCCGTCTCCAATGTATGCGACCTCCCGCCCCACCCCGCCCTCACCCCTCACCCCACCACCAGCCAGTTTCTCCTCAATGGGCGGCGAAGGTCGCTCGTGAGTCCGGCGATCCTGTTCGCGACTGATACGCATCTCTCCAACACGACCGCGCGTGGCGCCGGGTCTCTGGAGGTCTCCAGTCCCCACCCCTCCCCTAGCCGCGCGTGGCGAGGGACCCTCGCCGTTTCTCAAAGGCTCCCGTACCGGTTGCGCGGGCCGAGCTCACCACTCGGCGGCGCGCACGTTTCACCAGCCGGAGGTGCGGCGCCGGCGCAGTGACGAGAAATGGGCACGCGGCACACATCGGAGCGACGGACGGCGCCGCATTCCGCCGCCGCCGGCCGCGGGCAGGGCGAGAGAGACAGCGTATACCGCCCCCGGGCGCGGACGGGCCGGCCGCACATCCGGGCCGGCCGGCTCGATGGCCTGTCAGCGGCGGATTTAATGACGCCAGATGATGGGCCGCGCAGAGGATGGATTTACAGTGGAATGCTAAATTAGGGGAAGGGATAAATGGAGATAATTTTGATGCGGTTTTTAAATGCATTTAATTGCTGTTTGTTGGAATTTTCAACGTTTGTTGTAAGCAGTATTGCGTGACCTTTTACATTGCTCTATAAATTATAATATGCGGGATAGAAAATAGGGCTGCCCAAAATTCGTCAGAACTGTCAAAGAGCCGTGATCCTCGCTTCTTTTCGGAATGTCGTCTGACCGCAAATGCGTTTTAACCATGCTCATTGCTCAGTGAGACATTTCCGGGCTTCCGGGCTAGTTCCTTCCGTATCGGCTCTTCCTTCTCTGGGGTAAAACTTCAACCGCTCAACCAACCCTAAAGAGAGCTCGCAACTCATATGTCCGTGATCACTCTATGATCATACCAGCGATAATACTGATGATCAGCGATCATTCATCCCAATGTTCGCTCTACTGTATGATAGACTCCAACAGCGGGACTGAACTCTTACGAGCGTTTGCAGCTGACCGACGATCTGTTTTCGGGATCACTCTATGATCACAATGATGACGCTCGAGAGTGAGTCGATGATATCACTCACCTCAATCTATATCTCCCCTTTCAGGATGGACTCGGAGTACGAGCGGATCCGGCGCTCGTGTCTGCGTGTGGGAGAGCTGTGGCAGGACCCTGACTTTCCAGCGGTGCAGGCCTCCGTCTTCTACCACCAGACGCCGCCGTTCCAGTTCGTGTGGAAACGGCCAGCGGTGAGTGGAAACTGCATCTCCCCTTCGAAGATTGAAAGCCCTGTATCTTATTATATGGACTTTCATGCATATTGTTTTGCTTGTGATTGGAGATAGTTTATATGTGTTAGCTTTCTGCTCGGGCACGCAGTCTCTGATAGGTTCATACTCCGCGTTAAAGTCTCCTGCTTTCTTCTTTCAAAACCGAACTTAACGTGGCTTTTGAGCGTCTATTTAGAAGTGAAGCAAGACCGACTAAGGGAGTGTAACCGTGTTAGCTTTCTAAGCGGACATGCAGTTACTGATATGCCCATACTGCGCCGCGTTAAAGTCTCTTGCTCTTTTGCTTCGAAATGGAACCTGTAGTCGTTTTGAGCGCCTGTTGAGTAGTGTTAGCGATGACTTCACCCATTTCGTGTTGAGGCGCTATGGAATCATGAAAAACGTCTGCTTGCATGCGGCATACCGGACAATCGCAGCCACATGAATGCAGCGAGCGAGCAGTTCTTATTTTGTTATTTTGTAAGGGAGCGAAATGCGTACCTACCCGAGTTATTTCGAAATGAATGCTGCTGTTTTCCTCCATTTTCATGAACTGCAGTATTGGTCCCATTTTGTAGACCGATGGCTACCTCCATACATACCGATGACCGATGGTGGCCCCATAATGGGCCGATGCCGGCCCTTCCATGTATACTTCGGAGCAGCGGTAGTCTCTTTTTACGGACTAGTAATTCCCAGCTCTATAGATCGGTCACGGGGCTACGGCTGCTCTACATATACCAGACTGGGACACCAAGATTACTTTTGGGACACCACCTCCACCTATAGACAAATATTTCAACTCCCGTTGATCGGTGGCAAACCTTCGGTGGCTCCTTTGATCGCCATCTCACGAAAGCTGCGCCTCATATGCGTCTACTCGTATATTGGTATTTGCCTACAGAGGGAGGTCGCCCAGCCGACCGACCGACCGCCCCTAAGATCTATCTTTTGCCATTTGCTGTTGCACCTAGAACGGTGCATTATAAAGGGAGTTTGTCTTCACCTCCGATGCATCTGTCATCACAACTCAGCACAGCACGCCGACTAAACCCGTTGGTACAAGTGGGCACCGATGAACAAGGCAGTCCACCCCTAAAAATCTGAACCTGTCATATCGACTGACTCTTGCACCATCCGATCCTCAGTCTCATCGATCTGCGGCGGCTCAACCAAGCTCAGCCGCCGCTCCGTTAGTGAGGACGAGTTTCCGTCCGTTTTGCGTGGGAATGGAACGGTGGGCAGGGCCGGCGGCACCGTCCGGCGTGTGAGTCACCGGACGGAGCGAGTGCGGAGCGTGGGAGGGCACCGTGCCGACCGGGGGCAGCCGGCACGGCGCGGCACCCTTGACGGGCAACTGGAGCCGTCGGTGGGGGCGGGGATTTTGGTCCGTGAATATGGTGCGAATGGCATCTCGAGGTGCAGCATGATGCAGACTAGACGGCACTTGCTTACCGATAAAACATTATTTTCATGCCAATCATTAGGTGTTTTGTGGCGCATCTTGCGAAATTCCCAAACGTTAATTTATCCCCGCTGGCTATTCGTGATTATCATGCTCTACGTGTGCTGTTTAACGTGCGCTTCCATGTTCTTCCATGCACACTGCACTTCTATGTGCCCACATAGGAAATGCACCCAGCCCGAACAGTGCTCTAAGCGTTTGAATGATATCCCGATTGTACCAAACCATAATTCAGACAATTAGCCAATAATGACATATGATCACCATTCTTTAGCCTGATTTGGAATAATTGATTACCCATGCTGATACCGGTATAAATGGAGACGAAACTCCGATCATATCGGAACCCTCGCTCGTAGGTACCTACACCATTTCGAGACGACCGCTTGAGGTCTGATATTTGTCAACTAAATTGAAATGATGAGCATGACTATCCTACCTTTATGCAGACAGCCAATCATTAACCAGCGTCTTTCTTCCTTCACAGGAGCTGTTTCCCGACCCGTTGTTTATTCGAGACTCAGTGCTGGACTTCGATGCCTACCCGGGCAAACTCGGTAAGTGCCTGTCCACTTATCTACGCGATTTCTCGGTCCTCTCGCTGTCATTTTGTTTGTTCTCTCACCGTCCTCTCTCCCGTCCTCTCACCATCTTCTCACCTACCCTCTTACCGCCCTCTTCTGTCCTCTCACTGTTGTCCACCTACCCTCCCATCATCTTACTCTATCCTATCACCCTCTCACTGGACCAGGAGCACGGGCTAGAACCGCATTGGTAGCACCAGCACCGGAACTGTCGCCGGAACTTCCCCTCCCCACCCCTCCCTCCCCTCCCTTCCTCTCTCCCTCCCTCCCTCCGCTTATATACCGGTCGAGAACCGGCCGCGCCGAGAGAGGGAGAAAGTGGTCCCAGACGGCCTACACGGAGGTGGCTCAGGGTGAGGTCCGCGCGCCCGACGGATGAAATCGGCGTCAGATCGGCTTGTCGGAAGTGCAGTTTCTGCAGGCTGCAATGGCAAGCTCTCTCTTGGGTGTGCTTGGTGGCGTCTGTTAACTAGTCAGAGGCACAGTGGAGGCTGTGTTATGCAGCACTTCCTACATAGATATGCACCTGATACCGCATCTGTTACCAGTAGGGTAAGGGCGGGTAAGAGTACGCGGGCGATAAGAGTACGCATCAGCTGTTTTGGTTGCTTAGCAACGCGGGCTTGTCGAGTTCATGAAGTGACATGAAGCCGCCAGTGCGTGCTTGTCACCAACGGAACGTGGGCGTTGAGCGGCGACGCTGTTGAGTTTAAGGCGATGAATATTATTTTCGAGCGTTATGATATTATTATGGCATGGTAGGGTAACTGTGGGGAAAACGCACCCCTGGGTTAAACGCCTCCCCTAAAAAAATCGTAGATCTTATCGGCGGATAGGTGTTTTATCCTGTCTTTCAGAACAGTCAGCTGCTTGTTTACGTAGTTCTCTATTTCCGGTTCTGCGTCTTGGGGAGCAGCGTGGGTAGGTGCTGATGTTGGTTTTGGGTGTTGTTTTTGTTGTTTTTACAGAAGATTCCTAAGCTTTTGATGCCCTCTTTATTTCACAAAACTTGCTATTGTGCACATCACTCAAAACTGCGTTTTATTGTCATTCTGTTGAATTTATTATGCTGTGGCGTTAGTGGCGCGTTTTTTGTTAATATTTTGTTGACCGGAAATGGAGTGGATGGGGAAAGACGCCTACTCGATGCATGGGGCAAGACGCCCCCAGTTTTCTGAAAGGGGGGCGTTTTGCACGGTGGTGAGAGTGCAGGGTAGCGCCCTGTAGGTCGGGGCCGAAAAGGCCTCTCCCTGTCCTTTTTTGCTGATACATCCTAAACGACTGCAGATATCGTCACCAAACTTTCAGGACTCCTCCGGGCATCCATTTTACACATTGCAACAACATTTTATTCCAAAGGCTATGATAGGTTGACCACAAATGACGTCAGAATGACGTCAAGTTGTGCCATGTTCATCATTTTCTCTGTTGATGGATGGGGTGGGGGCGCTTTGCACATGGGTGTGGGCGTATTACCCAGGGTGTGGGGCAAAACGCCCTTTTGTAAGGGTATGCAGAAACCTTTTTTGGGGGTTAAATACCACACGCAAGTGTCTTTTCTTGGTCTCAAAGCGTAGTAAAAAGAATGAGCTACATGATGGTGCCCAAAGGTTTGAGTAATCTGGGTTGGGTTGAGTGTCAGAAGGTTTCGCGCTTACTGGGGGCGTTTTTGACCTATTCACCCTACAATAATTTTGATACTTGGCAGTTGAGATAAGGTACATTTCCGTGATTGTTGTGGGAAACTTGTGAGGTTATCTGGGGAAATACTGTGCAGTGCAATATTATGTTTCCGGAGTTTTGCACAACGTTTCGGGGTTGTTTTGTGCGCGAATTGCATGTACGGTAAGAGGACGCACTGTTCAGGAGGGTAAGAGTACGCAGAATTATACATTAAATCGAATATACAGAAATATAAAATTATTAATATATCGCTCAATGACGTTTGTCTTGTAGGTATATCATCAATGGAGCATTGTGATGCAGATGCGTACCCGAAATTCTTCCAAATACGAATTATTCTCCCTTTTGATTGTGCATTTTTTAAAGAAACACACGACATGATTATTTCCTGATTTATAGACTTGAAATATTTATTTTAAGCTTTTCTTTTTGGATACTAGAATTAACTTAAATGCCTTCTGAGTTTGAAGTTAAGCATTTGGACAGTACAAGCTGCATAGGGGTGTGTTCATATGCTTGCGTACTCCACCCGCCTGGCGTGCGTACTCTTACACACCCCATATGGTAAGAGTACGCAACTGCAGCGGTTCAGAAAATGTCAGTTTTAGACCAATTCCATTTACGCTGAAGGATCGTTGCCCCATGGGTTGATGGCTAATTTAATGAACTTTAATATTCCCTATTTGCGATTTCTTTCTTTCAAATATTAAACAAATGAGAGCAAGAAATCCACTAAGTGCGTACTCTTATACGACTTCACCCTACCTTTGGATCAGCTCATAGTGACAAGCTATTGTTCAAACATTAAATCCTCTCCGAATATGTGCCTTGTGTCAAATCTGATCACTAGCATGGGACGGATCACGCAACATTTCCACCGTCTTGATTTTTGTTCCTGGCATCGCCTCTTACGGGCAGTGGCGCTGTGCAGTGTGCAGTGCAGTGCAGTGCAGTGCAGCAGACGTGAGACGGCTATGGGGGTGCGGCATTCTGCTGCGGCGTGCAGCAACATTGAGCTACGCCTGTCTGTGTATGCCTTTGTTTGTCCCTTCCCACTGGTGTCTGAGTCTGTCTACGGTACGGTGAGCTGGGTTGAGCTGGTACGGTGTTGACCCCGGGTGGTTCGCGAGTTACCTCGGTGGCCGGCGGCAGGTGGTGAGAGGCGGCTCCCTATCCCTTCCTATGTCCCATGGCGTTCCGCAGGGCTCCCTGGTCGGCCCAATCCTCTTCAGCATCTTCACAAATGACCTACCTTCCTACCTTCCTCATGGACGGCTCATTTCCTATGCAGACGATACCCAACTCCTCGATTCCGCTCTTCCCACTGACTTACCTGTCCTTAAAAAACAACAGGAAGACACCTTGCTCGCTGTCCAGTCCTATTACACATCCAATTCCTTGAAAATGAATCCTAGTAAGACCACCCTGCTTCTTGTGGGTACTGGCCAGAACCTCAAGAAAACCTCATCCTTTTCCCTTACCATATCCGGTCACACACTACAACCATCCCCTTTTGTGAAGATGCTGGGAGTGACGGTCGACTCAACCCTATCCTGGGAAAAGCACATTTCAAATGTTGTCAAAAAGTGCAATTCCATCCTTCTATGTTTGTATAAAATTCGTCATCATCTTACCCCCGAGACCCGTAAGCTCCTTATCCAGTGCCATGTTATCCCCCACATCCTTTACTGCCTCTCCGTCTGGGGCGGGGCCGCTCGCTGTCATTTACATAAGGTGCAGAAGATCCTGAATTTTGGTGCTAGGGTCGTCTCCGGAGCGCGGGTTTCTGAACATATTTCACCGGTGTTGAGAGCCCTCGGCTGGCATGACATTGCTGATCTTGTCGTTCACCGTGACTGCTCCACTGTGTTCAGGGCGCTGAGTGACCCTTGCGCTCCGGAGGCGATCCGCTCCCTATTCACTCGGCGAGCCGCTGTGTCGCAGCGCTCAACGCGGGCAACGTGTGCCGGTGTACTGGAGCTGCCGGCTTACCGGCTGTCTATGTCGCGCCGGGCCTTGTCGTACCGAGCGGCCTCGTCCTGGAATCGCCTGCCGCCTGCCACCACCGGCTCTCGAACTAGAGCGGAGTTTTTACGACTTTTAAACTCGACATGTGACTAGCGTTTTGGTATTTTAGTACAATGTGTATGCGTGTGTGTGCTTGTGTTTTATATGTTTTTACCAATTGTCATTGACTAGAAGCTGACACTAATCCATCATTGGAATGCTTCGCTAATACAATATACATACTGTCCCGTGCCTATCGAGCTGGTCCAATATTGCGGCACACCGTGCATTGGATCGTGGGAAATTGACAACAATGCAATAACTGCTCAACCAACCACCCACTCGACCCTCACAGTCTGAGATGCCGCCGACTAGACCCACCCTTCTGCGGGATGAATCTGCGAGGGGCGGACTCCTCTCGTCTGTCGGCACGGCCCTCCCCCCTGTCGCTCGCACCATCCTAGGGTCTGCCCACACAGCCCACCTGCTGTCCTCCAGTTCCTGAGACCCGTCAGCTGTTCGTCCGCGCACCTGTTAGACTGATCGTTTGTCAACATATAACGGAAACTTTTGTCAAGTGATGTGATTTAAATGCGGCTGAGAAGCACTTTGAACGACAGATGAAGGAGTTCGAACGGCTGATGAATGGAAATCCATACCAGTAGCAGTTAAATAAGTGGCGCTTGCCTGACAGAAAGACTGTGCTCACATCACCCAACAGAAATCGCCTCTCTGCAACGAGACGTGGTAGCGCTGCAATTGCACTGCAGCGAAGTCGTGCTCGCTTTGTGCAATCTTGCAAAGTCCCGTTAAACATCTGGGTCGTGACAATTTTCAACATATCGTATATATCAGGAAGTTGATCGCATTGTTAAGCAAAGATAGGTAAAGCCTTTTGTTTAGACTTCCGGACTTTCTCATTATTCAGCCTAAAGTCGTATCTAATAGAAGTTTCAAGAATAATTTAATCCATGTTGATTTATCATGAAGCTTAGTGTCTTTCTTCTGATGTCAGTGTTTACTTCTAATGTTTGCCGCTGCTCGCCCGCCGAGTCAGCAGCTCACTGCCGTAAAAACAGGCACGCTCTGACCGTCACGGACCACGGGCATGTCTCACGACTCGCCCACCGTGACTCCGTCGCCGGGCCGTTTGGAGCGGCTGCACGGGGCCATGTCACGGGCGTCACTCTGTCCGCACTTACCCGGCACCGTGACGGCGGAACGCATAGACCGAGACAACGCGAAGGAGGGGGGAAGGAGCAGTGAACTGTCCCAGAGAGATGGGGGAACACATGGACCGAAATAACGCGAAGGAGGGGAGTGAAATGTAGAGTATAGACGGTAGAGGGGACTGCTATATGACCGAACCAATAACAGCAGGCGGGACTCATAAAGGAAGGGATCAGGAAGGAAGGGCAATGAGTGAACCTGGGAACTTGTGAGCGTATCGACCGAAACTCAACGGAGGGAATGGAGAGTAAGCCATTCTGTGACTCAGTCAGACCAAAATAAGGCGAATGACCGTCAGATTACTGCGTGGCCTGATCACACTGGAGAACTTTGCGTAAGATCATGACCTTTGTGAAACAATGCATGTTCTTAAATGCTTATCCAATACCCACGGTCTTCCTACGCCTACTTCGCGTCGCGAAACCGTGGCCGTCATTAAATTCCCCTGCGGCCTTCAGTCTATAAACGTCCGTTGGGCGACGGCCCTGTAGCGGCGAAACCCCGCCCTCCCTCATTGTTTTCTCCGGCGCTCCACCTTCACTTCGCCGGAAGTTCTATGAAAGAAGCACCGAGCTCTGGTGGCTCTCAGATGAGGGGTGTGTGTTTAGCCCGCGTTTCTAACACCTCTCCGCTCGTTTTCAGGTGACCGGTGGTTCATCTCGTGTATCGGCTGTCTGCAGATGACCCGTGGTCTGTTCTACCGCGTGGTGCCCGCCGATCAGTCGTTCGCAGGCGACGGCTATGCCGGCATCTTCCGGTGAGTACGAAATGCGTGATATGATGTCACCGGTGCTGACGTGACTACTGACTGATGTAATTGTGATGTCATACATTATGGCGCTGCTAGAATATTACGCTGACTGGTTGATCCCGAGAAGGACACGTCCCGCGAAAAGACAAATTTGAAATGCCTTTATCGCCTAATGGTATTGAATTTGAAGAAATGAACAAGCTTTGCAATGCCATTGACCCACTATAAATTTTCAAATAGAATCCTCCTATGAAAGAGCTGGTGATGGTTACTGTCGTCACCAAAGCCGTTGCTGACAAGTGGCAAATGACATCACAGCGACCAAAGCCACGACCACCACAGACTTCGCCAACGGAGCATAAGGCTGACAGATGGCCGTATTCGCAATGTGAACTGGTTTCTCAAGGTAACGCTGTCGCTGAGGCACACGACATGAATAGGCAAAACATCTGGAAGTGGTCTGATTTTCTCCAGCAGCGTGGTACGCATAAGACATCTGCGGCATTTCCAAACGCTGCCTGCGCCGTCCCGTCGCCAGCAGCGTCCTCAACTATCGTAAAATAAACTACCGTCTTCCATCAGCATTCAGCACGTGACTGGCACCTGAGGCACCACTGTCCGCCATTCCAGCGCGTGCACGCGTTTCACCTGCTCTCTGCCGAGCTGACTGGCTCGATCAGCGCAAAGAATTCGGCCGGCGAAAGTGTTTGGGCCAGTTCAGTCACGCATGATAAGCGGCCTTCGCGCTCGGCTCTGTGGCCTCACTCCTGCTGAGATTGGCCCGGTGGCTCGCGCGTCGCCTAAAAACGCCCTCGAGCTGGCCGCGGTGGGCATGGCGTGTGCACGCCCCCGGTGCCAACTGTGCAGCGGACGCTTTTTGTAGCGTGCTCGCCGGTTCTGTCAGGCGTATATGGACGCTACGAGTTTCAATTTTGCGAATTGGGCGGATTTCGACTTTTGAAATGTGTACGGCTTTTCGGTTGTGGCGTGCACATTTACGTTAACATGCACGGTAACGTAGCTCATATCGCCGCTTTGTATTTAAAGGGAGATAATGACCTTTTTCCACAAAATCTGAGTTAGGATCATTTTCTGACAAAACACAACAAGTTATAATGTAAATTAAAACCATTTTGCTCAATGCGGTACCTTGCCGCAAATATCTCAACTTGAAGTCACGTTAGCGGGGAGCGCTGAAAATGACCGTTGAATAAGTACTTACATCACTTTTTGGTACTTGCATGTAATTTTGTAAAATGAGCGTATTCCTTACATTTGATCTTCATCACATCTAGTTAGTTAATGGTCGTCTATAGAGCCTTCAAAAGATATTCATGGTTTGGGGGTGGTTTATGTCTAAATTTACGCAACTATTTTTCCTGTTCATCATCTGAGGCCATATGCTGCTATTTTAGTAGCAACGACTCAATTTTGAATCGGTCCCGCCGACTGCACAATAAAAGAAGATAGATACAACACTTTTGCGGCATCACTGAAAAACTTATGCAGTACTGTTATCAAAATTCTCATAACACCGTTCGACAAACCTGAAGTCTTTTTGAAATAAATATGCTTGTATTTTTCGCTTCAGGCTCTGACGCCAAAATAATGAATTTCGTAGTCGCAATCGCAAGATTTGGCTGCGTTTCTGGCGCATGCCGTTCATTTGTGGCGCAAAATAATACTTGGAAACAAAGAAGAGTAGGCACTATGTACGAATCTAATTAATTCTAAACCGAATTAACTCTAATTCAAATTAGAATCCTTACAACCAAGCAACGACAAGGCGATAACATAAACAAAAACCCAAGCGTCGCTGTTTGAAACAAAAGCGCCATATACTGCGACTTTTTTTTATAGAGAAGGACAAGAAGGACAACGCATTTCGGTGGGTGTTACAAGTACTGCAAGTACTGCTTCTTTTTTGCAAAAATAAAAACCTTTTTCACATACGAAAATGTGCTAGGAAATTTTCATATTTTATAGAAACTACAGTAGAAATAGTATAGATGTCGAGTAATTTTTATTAAAGAAAAAAGAAAGCTCATTATCTCCCTTTAATGTGGGCACATTTTTATGAATTCCGGCTGCATACATTGTCACTGAATCTATCCTTAACCAAATCCGCTTCCTTGTAGCAGTTGGTAGTGATACTGAAACACGAAGTTTGCACCAAGGGTAAATTTGCCCTGCACGCTTCAGCTTTACTGGCATATATGCAGCAACATTTCTGTATAGCCCTAACGATGTAATAGTTGGTTACTGTATTTCTCAACATTCATTCTGCATTGATGGCGAAATAATTTTTCAGAACTAGTGAAGCCGAGGCTGCCAATCAATGCTTCACGCAGCACCCAATACTTCGCTGTCTATAAAAATAACAATACTGAACTTCGCTGTCTGCGCAAACAGCTACGGAATATTCTGTCCTCTGTCCGTCCGCCCGTTCTGTCCGTCCGTCTGTCCGTCTGTCCACCTTTCCGCCTGCCCGTCTGTCTGTCCATCGGTATGTCTGTCTGTCGTATGTCTGTCCACCCGTCCGTCTGTCCTTCCGTCTGTCCATCCGTCTGTCTGCTCGTTTGCGGTGCCTGCTAAACGGGTTCGAGGCCGTCGGGGCCTCTCGGGTGTCAGTACCGTATACCTGACCGGGACTGACCCCGCCGGCACCCGAGGTGACCCTGTCGGTGTGTCCAAGGTGTGCTCTTTGCACGCTGCACCATGGCCTCCTGTGCACTGGTGCGTGGACACTGTTAGCACCTGCGGCGGACGCGGCGGACGCGCGAGGTTGCTAGCGGGCGCTTTTCAAATAGGACTGGATTGACATGATGTAAAACGAGTGTTTGATGAAGAATTAAGCCAGCCAGGATTGACATATCAGTAACGGATGGATAGTTTTGAGCTCACCATGGCGTGCAGTAGGCCGGAGTCAGAATTTCGCATTTATATTAGAACGTCGTTGATGCCTTCGATATATAAAAATGGGATGCTTTTACTTTTTAGCAAGCAAGCTTATGTGCAACGTCAGATGGTTGTTCAAAAAAGTCCTATAAAATGCGTTTAGAGCTCTACCATTGTCTGCAAGCTATTGCATTCGTACTTTTAAATTCTGCATCAATTGCAAGCTAGTAAACGTCAGTGTGGACAATAAATGACTGGTATTGATAGCGAAGCTGAGCAATTATTGGCAACGACCAGCAGTTATTTATGGAGGAAAAATAGGTAGCATTGCATGTAGTACATACCTATCTGTCCGCTTTGTCAGGGCCTCAACGGTTCAATAAATTGCGACGTGTCATTACGAGGGCCCACTCATCAGTCATCATGGCTCACCTCGGCATAATTTTCTACTGCGCCCGGAAATAGTGACCTATTTTGTACTGAAACATTGAACTGTGTGTGGGAAGATCATGCCACTTCATTTGGTCTGGTGGCAGGGAGAGAAGGGTGGACAATGTGCCGTGCCTCCGTCGAGGGGTTCCCCAGCCCCTCAGCCCCTCAGCCCACCTCCCGAGCCAGAGGAGCTAGGTGTTTGTTTTGACACGCCACCTCCACCGGGGCGGGGGATCCGTTATGTTCCGACACCCTGGGTGGGCACGGGCGGCGCCGGAGGCCGGGAGGGCAGATACGGTCTGCACATACCTGTCACCTATCACCTGACACCTGACGGTCCTCTCAGCTGGCATGTCTGTCACCTGACAGACTGTCAGCTGCTGTCACAGAGCCGCGACAGTCGGACGGACGCCGGTGAAAGGCGTCAGACGGCGGCCCTCGACAGCCCAGGAGGCCAGTTTGGCAACGCCAGGGAGTGGTCAGCCAGTCACGCCGAGTGGATTGGTGCGCTGTAATGACTGCTGGGTGACCGGCGGGGAGGGGCCTGACTGCTGGGTGACCGGCCGGGAGGGGTCTGACCGCTGGGTGACCAGCCGGGAGGGACCACGGCAACGGGCACGGGACTGGTTAGGTCTTCTGAATCGGGGCGAGCGTGAAACGAGCGAGCAGGATATATGTATACCCACCAACGTAACAGTGTAAGCCACATCCGTGAAATGACCAAACTTGAGCTCATCGAACGATATTGGGTGGTATGTTAGTTTCCATCTAAATCGGACAGCATTTGAAAGCCTTAACCCGCGCCCCGCTGGGCTATTCAGCCATACGCGCCCTGCTGGGGGGGGGGGGGGGCAGATTCTGCCCCCCCCCTGTCTAACTTCCGAACCAATGGTCGTAGAAAGACGGGGAAAACGGCAATCGAAAGCTCTCAACAAGGCGGATCTTAAGAGCCCAATTTTTTTTTGCTTAAGTAGGTCAGAGGTCAGGTCAAGGTCAGGTCAAGGGTACAAAATGCAAGTTTCTACAGTATCGGCCTTGCACCGTAGTTGCCGAAGAATGGACTGAGACTGATTGCCCAAAACGTGTTCTTAGACTACCAAGACAATATTCGTTGCACACAATGTCATTCAAAGGTCAAGGCCAAGGTCAGGTCAGGTCAGGTCAGGTCACCAAAAACAAAATATAGAAAAGGGCATGTGCGACACATGTTTTATGGGTCATTTTACTCATGGAATTCAATAGGCACACTCAATAAGTGATATGGACCACCTCTGGATGAGTTTCAGGTCGAGGTCAGGTCAAGGTCAGGTCAAGTGAGGTCAAATTTTGAAGTTGGTTGTTAAGGCCTAAAAAGGTGTCTATCCGATGCAGTTTTTCACGGCGAATCGAATGGTACTATTTTTGTTTCCGTACGAGGTCTAAAACTTCCAAAAAAATCATTTTTCAAAAAAATTGTGTGTCGTGACGTCATACAATTTTGAATAACTCCCACATTTTTGAACCGATTCTTCTAAAAATTGGTATGTAGGTGCACATAGACCACTTCTTTGACATATATTCCGGTTTTTTCGATAAACTCAAAATTTTGGATTTTATAAATATTTTCCCAAAAAAGTCAGTTTTTTGGAAAAATTTTGGCCAAAACCCAAAATTTTCAAAAAACCGAGATAGCCATTTGATAGACAAGGTAGAATCACGTATAACCTTTTTTGTTACGTCTTGATTCCTTTAAAAATGAAGATGTTAGCGGCGTTTGAAATTTTGCCGTTTTTGAGGCGAAAATGGCGAACATGACGTCACTAAAACGTCAATTTCTCAAAAATTTTCCGACGGATTTCGCTCAAATTTTCAGGGAACGTGTCAAATTGATGTATGATAAGGTACTGAAAGTTTGACGCCGCTGGCGTAACGCGTTTAGAAGTTATTGGCGAAAAACGGGAGGGGGGGGCAGATTCTGCCCCCCCCCAGCGGGGCGCGGGTTAAAATGGTTCTTGATCGAGAAAACTATCCGTGAATAGCACTAGCTGGTATGTAGCTATTAGCTTTCCAGTCGTATGGTGAACACTTTAATATTCAGGACCACTCAGCCACGCCGCATAACGCACGGCGTATCCTGAATATTTATGACCGAGATCATTCACATGAGGTGCGTGCTGTGAAAGCCCAGACGCGTGTCTGTCCAGCTACATCCGTCAGATTCAGACCCAGCCGACTCTTCCCAGCTATGACGTCCCCAATGAGCGCCCCGCTGGTTCAGCGGCAGACCTGCTGTGTAGGTTAAATGCTCCGAAAATAAGACGCTTCACTTTGCCAGTAATAGCAGTACAAAATGTTTATCATTTCTTATAAAATCTCATGAGTTTGAAACCGAGTCTTATTTGAAACAATTTAGTCGATCAAATAATCAATACACTAAAGCATGTGAACTCTGTAGTTGGTAATAAGTGTTTTACGTTGACATGCAATTACTTAGAAATATCTGATCAGTAGTAACAGCCCTGTTTGATGTCTGTTAAGCTTCTGTATTTAACTCATTAATAGCTTAATTAAACATGCTGTTTAATGATAAGTCTAGCTAATGAGTACAGACTGTACACACGTGTTCATTGTGCAACTATCTCGGCTGCAGTCTTCGCCTGAAACCCAGCCCGGAGCCGGTTTTCGTCCTTGCCACTGCCTCTGATAACACTTTACCGGCCGGCCGACCGGTCGGCCTTTCTGGTATCGCACCGTTACCCATCGGACACCATCCAATGCCTTCCACTCTGTGGATGGGGTAATACATATAGCCGTGGTGCGCAGCGGCGTTCGATTCTCCAATTCATAAGACATATAGAACATATGTGACACTCACTCCACAGCACAGTACACAGCGACAGCCCTTCGTCACTGCTTAGAGACTGCATTCTAAAACAAGACTGTAACACGGCCTCTGGAAGACGGGAGACTGCATTCTGGCACAATAAAGCAGCACTAGTTATAGCTCTGGAAGACTGCATTCTAGAATAAGATAGTAACACGGCATCTCGGCCTCTGGAGTCTGTGGAAGCCGGGAGACTGCATTCTGACACAACAGAGTAGCACTAGCTCTGGAAGACGGGAGACTGCATTCTGACACAGCGGAGAAGCACTAGCTCTGGAAGACGGGAGACTGCATTCTGACACAAGAGAGTAGCACTAGCTCTGGAAGACGGGAGACTGCATTCTGACACAAGAGAGTAGCACTAGCTCTGGAAGACGGGAGACTGCATTCTGACACAACGGAGTAGCACTGCCTCTGGAAGACGGGAGACTGCATTCTGACACAACGGAGTAGCACTGCCTCTGGAAGACGGGAGACTGCATTCTGACACAGCTGAGTAGCACTAGCTCTGGAAGACGGGGGACTGCATTCTGACACAGCTGAGTAGCACTAGCTCTGGAAGACGGAAGACTGCAGCAGGCAATAGAAAGGTATCCCGTTTCCAAACAGTGGGTGCTACGCTGTTGTGTACTAACGCAGTCTCCATATGCTTATAAGGCATACCTACGTTTTACTTGTGTCTGACTTGCGAGACACGCCGGCTGATGTCATGCACTTATCCGCATAGCATCTTATCAGTAGGGGAGTCACAACATACACTGAAAACAATTTAACCCAAGGCCGGCGAGTAAACCAGTGTTTCACGGGTACCCCTATCCGCAACCATTTTTAACCACCCTCCCAGGAGTTGTGCTAGGTCCCATTGCGGTGTAGTCGTACTTGCTCTGAGCGGATATAACCGCTGTCAGCGAACATGTCCGCTGAGAGCAAGGGACGACTACACTGCAATGGGGCCTTACTGTACTCCTGGGAGGGTGGTTAAAAATGGTTGCGGATAGGGGTACCCGTGAAACACTGGTTTACTCGCCGGCCTTGGGTTCAATTGTTTTCAGTGTGGCCTGCCAATGCACATCTGATGCATTTCTACACACACAACTCTCAAAGCAAGGCATTGTTTGCTGGTAATAAAACATATCCCAGTACCCAAACAGTGCATGGATTACATATGTGAAAGCATCAAAGCTCGTTACAATTATTCGGGTCCTACGACCTACAATTTGATCTACCGGATTATTTTCCTGTGTTTCAAGTGTGTATTGTATATTCTACCATACTTAAGACGATCTTGATAGTCGATTTAAACTCCGATACTATATTGATGAATATCTTCAGAGAACAAGATACGGTAACAGCCCAAACACTAGCTTGCCCCGACCCTGGAACTGCACTCTGACCCTTTTCACTTCCACCTAACCCCTGACCGCCCTGTTTCACCCTACCCCCCCTGACCGTCTCTGTTCCCTCGTCCGTTCCAGGTTTCGTATCTTCTGGAATGGCGAGTGGGTGGAGGTGCTGGTGGACGACCGGCTGCCCACGGTGAACGGAAAGCTGGCCTTCACCACGTCACAGAGCCAGCAGGTCTTCTGGATGTCGCTACTCGAGAAGGCCTGCGCCAAGTAAGTCGAATGGAGGGAGGGAGGGAGGGAGGGATGGATGGATGGATGGATGGATGGATGGATGGATGGATGGATGGATGGATGGATGGATGGATGGATGGATGGATGGATGGATGGATGGATGGATGGATGGATGGATGGATGGATGGATGGATGGAGGGATGGAGGAGGGGATGATAGAGATAATGGTAGTGGCCGGCGGGTGTGTTGAGGGTAGTTTTTTTACGGTGGAAATCATGGAGCGAATTTAAGAATCGAACCAAGGTGAACGTATTTTTGTCACATACTGAATGCTCATAACTATATTCACAAAGTCGAAAACGTTTGTTGTGGGGCGGGATCAACGGGACATTGAGTGACGCAACATGATACGCTTCTTTCATGTACGTACAATGTACATGCCTATAGTATGCTTATCTATACCATACCTTGTCACCCTATTGCAACTCCGTTTTATTATACTTCGCTATTACGTTTACCATTTTTTAGCAGCGGACAGTCTATAGTATTACTATGCTCGGTACAAGCTCAAATCACAATACCGATACTATACCGCATGGCATCCACGTGCAACGCGAAGTTTTATAGCAGTGCCTATGCACCTTATTTTCATCCTGCACTCTGTGACTGGTGCTGGTTCATTGTCATTCCGACAACAACTTTGTCGTGTATATGTGTAAGGTCATGCGCCCACCTGGTGCCTACCTAATGCACTATGAACTACACCGCAGCCCGATGTTGTACACTGTGATCTGAAGCCACTGAGTTGTTTGTCCGCTCATTTCCAGACTGCACCTCTGTGTTTCGATATACTGCAGTGTTTTATAACCCTTGCTTGTCCGTTCATTCGCGACGCTCGCAGTTTGGCAGTGTCTCTCTTTAGCGCAGTGTGCCACGAGCCAGCGTTTGACCGTTCCCCGCTGACTATATGATAGCATACTCTATACTGTCTGATGTCTATACCACAGGTATTTTTATGTTTTAACTCGTGTTTGTACGGTCATTCGTGACGCTCGCAGTTCGGCGGTGTTTCTTTTTACCGCAGTGTACATATTTTAAACCCGTGTCTGTTTGTCCGCTGCCTGCTCGGTAACGCACAGTTAGCGTTACTGCAGTGTATTTTAACCCTCTGTCCGTGTGTTTACAGATTGCACGGCTCATACGAGGCGCTCAAGTACGGCACGACGCTGGACGGCCTGGCGGACATGACGGGCGGTATCACGGAGACTCTGAGTATCCGGGAGGACGCCACCGGGGCAGGTCACACCATCGGTCGGCTGCTGGAGCAGACCTCCATCATCACCGCTACTGTACAGACCGGGTCACAGGTAAACAGTCTTAGAAGAAACAACACAGTGTACATAAAGCGAATCGCTGGTAAACAAATCTCAGCAAAACACAACACAGTTTAGACCGCGTTGCGGGCGAACAACTGGAACAGCACATCACCGTTATTGATACTGACCGAATCACAGATGAAGGTCGATCGCAGACGATGGCGGGACACAGACTACCAATCTAAGCATGAGCTGCGTCAATATCATAGGTATGTAGGGCCTTGGCCTTGGGCCTTGAATGTCATCCTATCACGATCATCGTATATTCAACGTAGTATGTTAGTAATGTACGGCGCGGTGGCGACGTTTAGGTTGCGTACCTACACTATACGCGATCTCTACATTCATTTGGCTACGTGGGGTTCCACGATATTATTCGGCCCCGTTGACCTTCAGGCTGCCTTGCCACACTGATGTCGTCAGCTGTGACATCGGATACACCCACCGCGTCGCATATCAGCGCTGAATACATTTCACGGCACTCACCGGCGTATGTTGGCCGGGAGCCGGTGAATTGAACAACTACCACGTGACAAGGCCACCGGCTGCCGCTGTTTGGCAATTCACAGTCACGTGACATCGACCGTGGCCTCCTCCGTAAAACGGAACCCCCATTCAGCAGCGCCTACATTCACCGCAAACAAAATGCCGCTTTCACATTCAGTCATTCAGCAGTCGCTTTCATGTGGCGATCGTGTTCCGCTCAGCGCTTTTCAATATGCGAATGTTTGCTACGTTTGTTAGTTCCGGACCACAGTGATGCGCTGTGTTTTGGATATCGCTGAATGTGAGATCTCACCACATTTCGCTAGCGTAGGATAGGATATGCGATAGGATAGGATATGCGATAGGATAGGATATGCGATAATTTGTCGTTTGTTTTATTTCCTTCGTACGATGCAGATGCATTCGCTAACCCGTTATTTTTATCTTTTCAGACACCAAAGAATGGCAGTCCAGAGAAGTTGGCAAACGGTGTTCTATTAGGGACCAACTACAGGGTTCTCGACATTGAACGGGTACGTCTTTATTCACTCTTCAGATTGTGCTCCCGACTATGTTTGACAATTACTTGTTCTTACCTACATCCCACTTTTACTTATATGTTTGTCTTTTGCGGCTACGTATTATATTTAAGTCTTACGTCTATATCTTTAGTCTACGTCTTACGTCTACGTCTTAAATGTACGTTTTCAGGTCTACGTTTATAAGTCTACGTCTTAAGGCTATGTCGTACGTCTAAATCTTAAGTCTATGTCTTACGTCTACGTCTCACGTCTATATCTACGTCTTTAGTCTAACGTCTTATCTTCACACGCATTCCTCCACTCCTGAAACACTCACGATTTCCTTTCGTGATACCGGAGCTGTTTTTGCCTCGTTCGTGTTGATAATCGTGCGCTGCGTCCTGTCGGCTTGTCTCGGCCCCGCTGCAGGCCTCTGTTGAATGGCGAGTTTCCGCTGTTACATGTCCCACCTACGGTATAGGTACCGCGGCGGTGAGGCGGTGGGGTGAAATCGTTCCAGTGACTAGCTCGTGGTATTAGGGCCGAGTGATGTGTCTGATGGTGTACATTTCCTACGTTTCCTGACTGTTTGTAGGACGATTATCATGGTTGAATTTCATGGGGTGTTATCTAGTTGACCGTGGTCTCTGAAAGCCTTGAGACCAGAGTTTAACCTTTTGACGTCTTCTCTAATACGACCCCCGAATAAGAAGTTAATGCTAGAATCTGGAACCACATGTCTATTGCCCCGTGAATGATTCTCACATTTTCAGCGGGCCAAACCAACTCGTGAAGCGCGCAGGTCCGTTCCCGTGTGCCACTGTTACCGTGTGATCCGCGGCGAGCGTTTGAAGTCAAACGTCCGAACTTACGAGCGGAGTCGACTCGGTCTGCCGCCGTTATCTGGCTACCCGCTCCCACACTGGTACCGAGCTGGCCTGACTTGAATCTGGGCTGTGGTTCTTGTTGGCTCTGCGTCCTTATGAATGCAATACTGACAATTTATTATGTAGTGTTGTCTGACCGATAGACATGCATCAGAGCGTTGCAAGAGGCTTTACTGTGGTTGTCTACTTTACGGACCTTAATTGTTCTGAGCAAATTGTTGTTCATCTTTTCGTTTCACCTGACTGTGCTCCTTGAGATACACATGATGTTGAATATGACGTTTACGTCTTTTTGTTTCTATCTGTTTCGGCTCCCAGGTTTTCTTTCTTCCCCTGTTCTAACAGTGTCTCCCCTACCGTTCCCCCGGGCAACCCCTCCCCCAATGCTCTCCTCAGATAACCTTCCCCTGCCGTTCCTGAGGTGACCCCTCCCCTTTTATTTCCCTCAGGTCACACCCCTTCCCCACTGTTCCCCAGGTCACACAGTTCAGCGGGGAGCCGACCCAGCTCGTCCGGCTGCGCTCCTCTCTAGGTCACACCGGCGAGTACGTGGGACGGTGGGCGCGCGGCTCGCTCGAGTGGGACGAAGTCAGCGCGCTGGAGAGGGAACGGCTCGGGCCGCACACGCTGGCGGACGGAGAGTTCTGGTGAGAAGAGAGAGGGAGGAGAGAGGGAGAGGGGTGGTCGGGAGGCGGGGAGGAAATGGAGGGTGAGGGGGTGAGAGAAGGGTTTCACAGGGAGCAGCAGTTGTGTTATGAGACGTGGAGTTGCGGGAGGTAAAATATTCTACAGTTGTGTCGTCTTATTCACAGCATTGCATTGTTTTAATGTTATAGACGTTCGTACTTACTACCTAGAGCCGTCCGCGGTAAACGAGTCGAAAAAGTGCTAGCATATGTGTTGCAATATATTTCGCTCTCGTGAATGAATGGGAGATATTCGTTATGCTTCAGTAGGTAACAAACAGCAGAGCGAAACGTAGTGCCATGCCATGAGAGCAAGTAATGTTGAGCAGACTGGTAACCCTACATATGTACGGCCCTCCAGCAAAAGAGTGGTTGGGTAGCCTATATGCTTTTGGTGTAATAACTTTGAATGACAGAGACACTCCTGTAAAATGACTCAATAAAAATGAGAAGAGGGTTCGTGCACACACTTCGGCAATGGTTTTCAACAGCTATTAGACGTATTCATCAATGCAGATCGCTTATTGTGATGTTGGCAACCAACCACTAAATACCTGGAGGGCCGTACGTTATCGATTATCCCAGCAGCAAGTAGATATCTCATAAAACTACTCTATTGAATCGCCCAAGGGCCGTGTTCTTTCCTTCCGCTTCCAGACCGTACCACTACCCCACTGCATTTTCACCAACCAATAACCACCGTTCACCGTTACAGGATGCCCTACTCAGACTTTGTGAAGACGTTCACTCACCTGGAGGTGGTACATCTAGACGAGGACACGGCACGGGACGAGCCCTCGCTGCGCTCGCGGATGCCCTGGCAGGTCAAAGTGTACCAGGGGTCGTGGCGGAGAGGGGTCACCGCCGGCGGCTGCCGGAACAACACAGGTGAGACGCACGCAGAGGGAACGGGGTTACGAACTGTGACTGACGGGTTGACGGATGGAGCGACGTACGGGTGGAGGGAAGGATGGATGGATAACGTATTACGGCTAATTTTGTCAAGACATCCTGCATGTGTTTTTGCATGTCCATTGATACTATTTTAGGAGTTGCTTATTCACCTTTAGCTATGCTAAGATGTCTTTACTTCCGTGAGCTCCACGAAGTCATTGACGTTTGATGGATGCTTGCGGTCGAAGCAGAGTGGTAATGGTGAAGTAGCCACACTCAAGTGACCATTCTGAGCTGGGTGCGACTCCAAGTAGCCATCATGTTGGCCCAAACGACCCCGAATTGCATAAGCTTCTGGGGCTGGCAGGTTTTTAAACGTTGACCTGGTGACCAAGATAACAGTAGTCATTCAATGAACGGACTCATGAACCATTATTACAGCTGGGAACCCTTTCTCAGAGTGCTAATGAAGGTTATCAAGGTGCTATTTGTGTGTATTATTGCGGCGCTTCGTTTGCTCGCAATGACCGCGAGAGACCTTTGCCTGACCAGCCTGTCACCTCATGACGATTTATTACTATTTACTAGTGTTTTGCACTGACGATTTATGTGTGACCTAGAACTTTCACAGATCGACCTATGGTTCACCACTGTTCTCTCGCGGTTAGTCTCGCTGATGTCACTTTCACCAAAACGTACTCACATTTACACTGTCGACTGGCTTATCAGCATGGCAGTCAACCATTTCTGGCCGTCTGATATCATATTGGATATCTGAACTTGTGTTCGTTTTCCTTCCTGTGATAACCAACGCTCCGTGACAGGTAACATTCTTTCCGTTGTTTTTTTTCATGTTTTCTCTTTCCACCAATTTCTTACGACTCGTCCATGCTACATCTCCCAACTGCATCCATCGCCGTCTCCCCGTTCCTGACGTCCCTCCCCAAGATTCTCCCTCCTCTTGTGCGAACGTTAAAATCACGCCGCGACTGCTCTGGTCTCTATCATCCCACTCTCCCCTTTCAGACACGTTCCACATCAACCCTCGGCTGCACCTATTGCTGCCCGCGTGCGTCTCCCATTACTAACAGTAACATCTCAGACCCTCACTCTCCCCTTTCAGACACGTTCCACATCAACCCAAGGCTACACCTGGTGCTCTCGGTACCGGAGGAGGTGGTCATCTCATTGACCCAGCACACCGTCACCGAGCCCCGGGTGGTCGGGTTTACTGTCTATCCAGTCTCCAACGGAGCCGTGGATGCGATAGATAACAGCTTCTTCAAGAAGAAGAGTCTGGTGAACTCGCAGTATACCAACGGGCGGCAGGTGAGGGCGTAGGGAAAGGGGTTAGGGGAGGGCGGTTAGGCGCAGGGGTGGAGGGTTGGGAGTTCAACTTAAACCATGGTGAATAGGAGATGTGCTTATGCTGTTCGACAAAGTAGGTATTAATCGTCTTTGCCTGCCGCTTTTTTCAGTTGATTTGCTACGTTAGTTAATGTGATTGATTTTAGATGACAAATATGAGATCACTATACACTTTTAAAACATGGTTATAAATAAAACGGTCTTTTTAAGAGTAGTGTTATCCCAGATCGTGTAAACCGCATTATTCGATAGAAAATAATACCACATGTCAAAAGAAAAAATGCTGCCACATCACATGAACCCGTCGTTCAACCTGCCCCGATGATCTCTGACCTCTGACCCTGCTCCGTCTCCAGGTATCCCACAGATGCGCGTTAGAGCCGGGCGGATACATCATCGTACCCACAACCTTCGAGCCCTCTCAGGAGGCACAGTTCACTCTGCGAGTGTTTTCGATGAACGCCGTAAAGCTGCGCTACGTGGACACGACACCCGCCGTGCTGCGGAATCCTATATTGAAGGTAACGGGAGCGAGGGGCGGTGGGAGGAGGGGGGAGAGGGTCGAAATGGGATAGGGGTGCACGGCTGCGGGTGAGCTCAGTGTTGATGTGGGTTGTCAAATGGCTATGTTTGGGTCTGCAACGAAGAATAGGTATGTATATAGAAGTAAGCTATTGTCTTCGCTATTGTTAATTGTGCCCCGCAGAACGTGATGTCAACGTCTCAATACACAAAGCTATAATCAGCATTTAACCCGGATGTAGCAGTATTTTACAGCACAACTATTCGTGATGAGCCATTTATATGTGATGTCACACGGTATCTTCACCGACACCTATTTTTGTCTGAGCTGCATCGTTCCAACTTCGGAAGCCATAACTCACTCACTGACCGTTACTTCCACCTATCATTGTGACTGTATCGATCCATCCAATGCCCTTCCCTGGAGCGAGGATGATGTTTGCTTCAAATTCCGACACGAAACCCACATCGGTCACGGATATGAGGACCTGTTTGGTCCAATCAGCACCTATCAAATGTCAGGACATCGCTGACAATGCCTCCCCTAACTCGACTGGGCTATACTCTTTCAGGCGCCATCCAGCGTAGACGGCAAGGGCTTCAACCAGTACGAGGCTGTCTTCCTGCAGTTGGCGGATGAACACAAAACGGTTAACGCGTTCGAGCTACAAGAGTTACTAGAGGCCTGTTTACCGAATGGTAAGAGAATATCATTTGGAAGAATACGGAATTTTTAACACAGGTCTGTTGCTTCCATTACCTGCGTAATTGATACACTAAGATCCACCTGACTGTAGCTCCTCTTATTGTTTTCGTTCGGTGTGCTACCTTTAGTACACTGTTGCGTGTTAACCCTCAGTGCTACTTAGATACATTAGACCAAGTCTACTTAGTTATGTAAGATTTTGCACTTCGACCGGGTGCGACCCTTACGACTTATCTTGTTTTGTTCGGGACCCGTTTCACAACGCGATCGGTTAACCCCGAATCGATAACAGCACTCGACTCCTTCCGGTTCTGTGACGCCATTCCCGCCCCGTTTTCAGACTACATCAAGAGTTGCGCCACGATCGGCGTGTGTCGTCAGATCATATTCGCCATGGACACCACCATGTTCGGCAGGCTCAGCTTCAACGACTTCAAGGACCTGATGTGCAGCCTCAAACTGTGGCAGGGCGTTTTCAAGAACCACACCAAGGAGAAGACCGGAGTTCTGAAGGCGGAAAGGTGCGAAGCCGGTCCCCGCGAGCGCCCGTATAGTTGGGCGCCGGTGTTTGAGCCCGTTTGAGTGAACATGAGTCATGTGTTGTTTTTGTTAGGTTCCTGGGCCGGTCATATATCACTGATGGAATAGCTGATAGCAGTTCGTGCCGATTTAGACTAAATGCGCACCAGTCATGCAGATAATAAGATATCCGTTGCAAAACAAACAGGAAAACGAGCCTGTTGTTTTTGACAGGCAGACTCCACATTCCCACAGTAATGGATGATTGCGCAATGGTTTCATGATTTGTGGTTCCGGTCATGACAGGCCAATTACAGAAAAGACGACTTGACGCGATTGATGAATTCCTCAGGACGATAAATTCCGATTCTCTGAGAGAAAGTGTGCTTTTTTACACTTTGTACTTGTGCACGACCTTCAGATGGCTTGAAATAACTTATTCGAATCAAGTCTCAGCGCCATGCAGCTGGCAAACATTTGCTCGGCCATGTCAACCTGCCCTATCCCCTGATGTCCTCATTGTATCTCGGGGTCTGACTGCCTGGATTTGTTTTTGCCCTCCATAACACCCCACCTCTACACTCCTTCCTCAGGTTCCGTGACGCGCTCGCCGAGGTCGGTTTCCAGCTGAACACAGACGTGATGACGGTGCTCACACAGCGCTACCGACGCAAGGACGGAACCCTACGCTTCGGCGACTTCGTGGCGGCCGTCCTTCAGCTCTGCGTGGCCTTCGAGGTGTTTGACAAGAAGGACCCCCTGCAGACCGGGATCGTCAAATTCAACATCTCAGAGGTGAGGGGGTAGTTCAGGATGGATGGGCAGACGGACGGGCAAGAAGGGATGAATGAATGAATGAATGAATGAATGAATGAATGAATGAATGAATGAATGAATGAATGAATGAATGAATGAATGAATGCATGAATGAATGAATGAATGAATGAATGAATGAATGAATGAATGAATGAATGAATGAATGAATGAATTAATGACGAAGCACTGGTGTTAATCAGGTTTGGTAAGATCGCTTAGTGAGCCAAAAGGAATGAACGAACGGGGCTTGTGTCATACTCAGAAGGGTCTGCTTTTGGAAAAGGAACTAATGCTTCTATTTCTCATACCTCCGACGTAATCGTTTAGACTTAAGTTGAATGTGGCCGGCAAGTTACAGGTCTGCCATCGTTCTGTCTGTATGCTCGCTCCCCAGCACTGTCACCTGTGACTGATCTGTACGCCCCCTGTGCTGTCCGCAGTGGCTGAAGGGCTCCCTCTCGTGTTGACGCTGCCGCCGCGGACTCACAGAGGTCGGTCGGCCGGTCCCGCGCCGTCCTCCGTCGTGACCCGTCTGTCCGACCGTCTCCGCCGCCGGCGACGGACCGCGCTGTACATAGTCCACCGTGTAGGATAGCTGCGTTACGCGACATCGCTGTTGTACTGCTGACATATTTTAATAAAGTTGAACGCCGCGACTGCCTCCGCACCACTGTGTGTTCGGTCATTGTCGACATGGGTCAAATGTTGTGTGTGAAGTGGAATGATAAATGATAATCTTATGACAGTCCATACGCCTTCCGATACTCTTGGTTTTCTTAAGATCGGGCCTTTACCATCGATACTCTGTTCAACGTTCGCACGCATCCGAACCCGTCCAAAACGACTGGCGAATTCGACGGACAATTTATTTGGGACGTGTCCGCACGTCTCACCTGTGGTCTCAGCGCGTCTGCCATAGTATCGGGGCGCGCCCGGCAGGACAGCACGCTCCCATCACCGACAACTCTGCCGCCCTGCACGAATAACTTAGAGCGCCGGCCGTCGGGCCGTCGCGGCTCAGTACAATGCGCCGTCTGACGCACCGCCCGCTGGTCACGAATTGCCTCCGCGCGCGCCTGTCGCGGCAGGGCCCGCGCCGGTCACTCTCACATCGCTCACTGACTCGCTCCGATACAAGAGACTGCACGCGCGCACGGCGCCGCACTGCGACGGGAACATAACACCATCACAGCTACGATCGGTAATTGCACTTGCGGAGGCGACCGGCGCCGCCGGGCCGCGCACCCACTGACTAGAGCCTCCTCTGTCTCTCGCGCGCGATCGCGGACGCTCGGCTGCCTGCGCGGCCCACGGCGCCGCGTCCACACCCTGGCAGTGTGGTTCCGATCCCCGCCCCCGCACGGCGGTCACTATAGGCAGATTGCCGCCGTCTCGTTCACTGACTGTACGCGGCCCGGCCGCCGCCGGTGGGCGTCCAAAACTCGAGCTGGCGCCCGCGCCGCCGCGAGACGGTCGCCCGCGTCCGCTGTCTGCCTACGTCCGTCCGTCGCCCGCCACCAGTGTCAGTCAGTTCCTACAGGACCGTCGCCGGTCTCTACGGCTCGCTCGGTGCGTTCGATTCGCCTTTCCCGATGTGTGGTGCGCGCCGCCGGTCACTTTCGTCTCCCACCAGCCGTCCGTTCGCCGCCGAACAGCAGTCACTGAGAATTTGTCGCGGGCCGCGCTGCCGCCGTCCCAGCTTTGTACTGCCTTCGAGCCGCACCGCTCGCCACTACCCGTACTCCTGCAACACAGTTTTCAGCATCGAGATCAGACTCTCCACGCCGAATATGAAGCCCTGGTCGGGCCCGCTGTGCTGCACCGGGTCGTCAAAGTTTTGGTGCGTCGCGTGCGCGAAGTCGATCATTCGCACGTCGACGTCTCCTCGTGCGGAGCGCTCCGGCTGGTCGTGCATCGCTTCTTGGCCGTCATAGATGACCAACAACGAGGAGGTGAAGAAACGGAACGAGTGCTGGCGCTGCAGCACGCTCCGGAGTTCCGAGAGGCGCGCGATCATGGCTGGGAGGAGGTCCGTGCGGAGCGTGGTGCCGTTGTGGATAAACTGACACAGTGCTTGTTTGAAGCCGTCCACCGTCAGCTTACGGCCGTAGTACTTGTTTCGGCAGATGAAGCGAGATAGGTTTACCTGGTACACCTGGAGGGGGTAGAGAGGGACAGTGCCAACGTCTGGAGCATAGCTACACTACAGCCACTGTTTACCACCCACCAGAATATTTCAACGGTTAATAAAAAGCACACAAATTTTACTCGAAATAGTCATAAACCTACTGAACTGATAAACGCTCGCCGAAAGCTTTCCACTGAGTCATTCCAATCTACAAGCAACGATCTTTCTTCACGGCCACGCTGAAAACTCCTAGCCTAACAAACACCTAACATATTTCAGTTTCTACAAACAGAGTGTGAACAGAATCTCCCTTCTTTACGCCGTTCTCTCTGAGCCCCACCACTATGGCCCTTACCTGCATGCCGTTGATGCGGACACCGAGGGTGGACGAGGTAGTGGTGGCCACCTTGGCCTTCTTCCGCTGCTGTTTGGCGGCCGAGTCGTCGTCGGCGTACTGCCGGGTGCCCATCTTCAGGTCCAGTACACACGGATACTGGTACTTGTGCGTCAGGTTCTCCAGAAGGATGTACTCTGGGGCGACGGTGGAGCGGTTAGGGGCATGTTTCTATGGGGCCGAGACAGTGCCGGACGGGGCTGAGCGGGTCAACACAGTCCACCGCGTGTCGACCGGCACACGAGAACAAAGCGCAAGAGAACTACCATAAAACACAGGCCATTATCTACCCTGAGCTGACAATGGGAAACAAAATTGAAATAATGAAACCATAAGATCCCACAATAGTCGTCAGACACCGATCAACACTCCCGCGGCCGCCCCTGAGCTTATCCAACCCTTTACCCCTGAACTCTGTGCCAAGACGACTTGCCTTTATCAATGGTCGCGCCGGCCCGCGACACCCGCCGGCGTCTTGCACCAGCCCCCTAGCGGGCTGCGTCGAGCGCGCGTGCCTCGCGTGTGTCCGCCTGTCCTCACCTCACCTTAGCCAGCCCTGCGGGGGGCACCGCGTCAGCCGAGACCCACCCGCCGCCCGCCCGCCGCAGCCAAACCGAGGGCACGCGCCAAGACCGGGCAATTTAGATCGGTAAGCCAGTCAGTTTAGATTGACTGAGTCTCTACGAGTGACTATCGGTTCCTTTTGCCGACCGCTCCGCCGTGGCCGGCGGCTCGGTTTGACTGCGGCGGGGTCACTCCCTGCCCTGCCCTCCCGTCCCTCTCTCCCCTCCCTCCGCCGCTCTGCTCACTCTGTGGCGGCGCTGCGCAGTGGCCGGAGCTGCCGCCGCCGCTGGAGCCCGAGCCCAGCGCGCCCGCCGCCAGCTGGGTGAGCTGGTTCCGGTCGCAGCGCAGCAGCCACGGGTTATGCGGCACGTGGCCGGCGGCGGCCTCGTCACCGCGCGGCTCGGCCTCCTCGAACACCTGCGGCTGTTTCTGCTCACCCTCGATCTCCAGACTGCCCGACGGACGCATCCGGATACGACTGAGGAGGCACGGTGCACAGGCAGGTCAGGTCACGGCGAGAGATGGAGAAGGCACGGCCACAGCACAGGTCCAGGTTACGGTCACATATAGAGTCGGTGTCGGGTATAGACAGGTCAGCCTAGGACTGATAGGCCAAGTCATGCGCGTAGATAGGCCACGCCAAAGCTATATCACGGCTCGAGACTAATCGGATCCTGGTCACAGACAGGTCAGGTCAAAGTCACACACAGGACAGGGACACAATACATCGGGGTCACGTCAACGCGCATTGATCTCACTGGATCAAGGCAGGCCGCATTCATCTAGCCTGCTTGGATTAAGACCGAGTTGATCAAAAGACGGAGCGGATGTCACATCGGGAAAGATCGATCAGTGACGTTAGTTCACAAAACTTTATCCGACACTAATACCGCCTAGATCAGTGACGCCAGTGACATGGAATAAAGGGGCTGAGGTGGTAAACCCGCCTCGAGTTACTAGACTTAAATGATGCATTATGACGGCTACGATATGCAAATGCCTAATCAAACTGAACATTTTCAAACAATATCAGATGGTCTTTTGTTTGGGGTTATCGCAGACGCCACCGATCCCGACTGCTGGGACTCACACTGGGCTTATAGCACAAGAGTGGAACAGTCTAGTGTGCTGAGAGTCAGATGTAAGAGACTCAAAGCTCATCCGAGGAGAAGGGGACGATGGAGGCGGACCACGTCAGAAGGTTCACAGAGCTCGAATTAACAACGCTAGAAAACAACGTTATGTCGTACTGATACTGGTACAGGTTTATCAAACAAACACAAAAGCCCTGCAACATATTATACAATAGCGTGCTGCGATGCATGAATTTCAATTACATTGTATAAGCAACCAGAAATAACACATTTATGTAAATGGTAAATTTGAAACGGCAAAAAAAAAAAAAACGGTAAAAGACACCACGAAGGTTACATTGGATCCTGAAAATAGTACAAGAAAAAAGTCTAGAAATGATACCGTTTATTCCTAGCTGCTACTAGCTTGGCAAGCAAAGCGCATTTCGATAAAACGAAAGCTCACGCTCGGTAGCCGGCCATATCCAAACAGCAGATTCATGGCCAGAGTACTTGAGAGGCATTTGTCGAGTACCGAACCGGTCGTCTTTGACCTACTTTCCCCAGGAAACGAGAGGCCCTCGAGCTATGTCCGGGACATTCTACAAACCAGTTTTCTACGACGCAAGGAGCGATACTGGGAACGGTCTCCGTGCCAGGACGCTCTAAATGCGTTCTAGATGAGCGGCAGTACTCCGGAAACATAAAATAAAAAACGTGATAGTTGTTCTATGGCTAGACGCTAAATAGATAGAAACATCTGTATATGCACCATAAGCCAGCCCGTGCGGCTGTTCCGTCGAAAACTACCAACTGTTGAACGTACGATAATCGTGGTAGCAAAAGGCAACGTAAAAAGCGATGCCGTGCATTCAGAAAGCATCTCATGTTGCAAAATCTTCTAAACTACGCACATCCACACTGGCAAGAAAAGATGACGGCCTAAATTCGCTACCATAAACGAAGTAAGCAAATGTCAACACAAAAAATAAATCAATAGGAACACTTTCGATACGAGACAAGCGTCTCAGGAATCTTACCTTCGTTTCGATTTGGATTCGCTGCGTTGTACGGACAATTTGCGTTCATAGCTTTTGGGTGGATAAGCTACGAGGGTAACATAGCCATCTGCGTCTTCCACAAAGTTCACCTGCAACAGGATGGATAATAAGTCAGAGGGGAACATTGGAAAACCTCTCACAGAATGTGGCAGTGGGACCCAGACAAAGTTATTCATGGCACCAGGCTGTGAGTAATACCCAGCTGCAAAACATGAACACTGAATACTGAGCAGTAGGAACAGATTGTACTCTATCCTCAACCTTTTCCCTCCTTTACCATAATCACTAACCTCAATGACCCCCTTGTACTCTGGTGCAAATTGTTTCATTTGGTCAGGCATACTCTCATAGAAGTGGAGTTCTCTGGTGATGAGCGGCTTGCACACAGTGATCTCGTCAAGAGAGAACATGTGACTGTGCCCGCCCACCTGGTGAATGAAGGGCTCCAGCTGAAACCACAGATGGTGTTATGGCCAGTCACTATTTTTCAAAGCAGGTCAGATCTCCAGCTCACTATTGATGATCAACTCAAAAACAATAGACAACAGCACAATAAGTATGGATTAACAAATTCACATCACTGGTACTAGTGAGTGTAAAGTTGATGTAAAGGTGAAATAAAAATCACAGATAGGTAAATTTACTGTTAATTTATTTTAACCCTTTAAACAACTAATGGTCATGTCAAAATGGCTAAGTGCTATTCACCAGTTCAAGCAAGTAATAGGTACTGCAGATTGGTCATCCCATCTGCAGCACTTGGTGCTGATAGTATGCACTGAAGAAAAACAAAAAGAAACAACCAATATCTCACATGGACTGGCTCTGATGACCGTTCCTCCGCCATGCCTTCTCAGGTACATCGGATGCTGTCTGGAAAAGAATATCCAAGGTAGGTAAAAAGGCACAAAAGACCTATCAGTTAGCACCTTAAATGCAGCAATTACAACCTGCCATGATGAAGGTGATGCTTCTGAAGTGAATGGCATTTCAATTTGCTGGTAGGTAACTTTTGAACAATGAGAATATAGGTACCTACCTAAGTCAAAGCATCATAGAAATGGAAACAATGATCAGTTCGACTTTATTCAACATGAACCTGCTACAAAAAATGGTGTAGATGAAATGACAAGCAATTTGACAGATAATCTTCTATCAAATACAAAAAAGTTGTGGCACAAATTATTTGCTTGAATATTAAAATCAGATGTCCGCATGACAATGACAAATACAAAACAAACAAATCTAAAATCTTACATAACAATGGGTCGCAGCCTGACCAAAACTTTAGGAAAATAAAAATACAACGATGGACAGAAAACAATGAATGCATATGTAAAAAGGTCTGCAAATAAATTTTCTCACATCTGACAGCAAACGCACTACTACTTACTTGTACTTGTACAGCAAACGCACTAGGATAAGGAAGTCTAGTTTTCCCCATTACTCCCACATCTGAAGCTATATGATTCAAACTTGAAACCCCTTAAATGTATTTTTTTCTTGGTTATATGCCAGGAAAACGCCTTAATTAACTTACAGTCGATCATATAATCCAGCAACACAGCCCCAGAGTTTCCCCGTGAGACTACAGTGGGCTGCGGAGGTGGATCAGTGACGACACAACTCAGGCGTCAATAGTTCCATGCGCAAAGACGATGCGCACACAAAACAGCTGCGAACGAAAACGTAGTTTGAAGTGATATTTCACCTATATTACAAAATCCTTTAAAAAATCCAAAACTTCGATTAACGCCGGATTGCAATGCAATGTTATTTTTGTGAATCGAGGCATTCGTCCTTGGAAAAAATCAGCTGATTGACGATAAGCCCCGTAAAAAATCAGCTGATCACTAAGCCCCGCCTTCCCCACCTCGACGTCGACCAATCACAGGACGCGAAGCGACAGGGAGCAGCAGCTCCCTCTTTCGGCGAGTCAGGCAACTCGAATGTGTCCCGTGGAGGCTCCGCTGAGCGGTGCGGGTCATTTCCGAGGTCCTGTGGGTGGTTGAGGGGGCCACATCTGGCGTTGATCTGGCGTTTCATGCGAGAGGCTTGTGCAAATTGTGTGTGCTTTCTAGTTTGATCTGAAAATAATTCTCTCAAGAGTTTTCAAGGTGTAAATATCTTGCTTCGGCTCAATTTCCACCTAACATTTACCAGTGCAAGTTGAAGGGCGGTGTTTTGTCGCTGTTATGCCGATATAGGCGTAATTGAAAAAATACGTTTTAAATTTATTATCCCCTCCTGCCAAAGCTTTGCTGAGGCTGCAGCTATTCATATTTGATTACACTCTGGAGTGAGGAAGGTCTAGCTAAATCAAGATGGTTTGAAAGTGCTTGACAAAACTTACTCCAACATTGGAAGGAAAATTAAAGTTGCCTTGAAGGTCAAGAGCTGTGCACTTTAAGGACCAAGAAGTAAAGATTGCTTAAGCATGAAAGACAAACCTAATTCAACAAGAACCTATGATGCTGATGGCTATCGCCTTCGTGCAGCTGGCGTCTGCGTCAAGGATGAGATGGAGAGGGAGGTGAGTAGATTCAATATACCTCTGAGTTTACATTTACAACTTGAGTGTTAGGAGCTAAGATAACAATAACTTAATTCTCAAGCTAAAAAGTGAAAGACTAGCATCATTTTTTGAAGACTTTATTACTTATTAGCCTACTTACTTCTTTATTTTCATTTTCATTCAACTAATTTCAATACAAGGTCCTCTTGCTTTCAGCCCATATCATACCCTCAGAAATTCTGAACATTTGTTCAGAATGGTGGCATAATTATTAATCTGTATTTTAGTTATTCTTACCAGGCCCTCCTCAGTGCTCCAGCCTTGTACCCCACCAGCCCTGACCCTTTCATTCCCTGTGAGGTGCTGGTGCTATTTCAGATTCAGTGGACAGGAAGCCTGGGAAGCCTCAGCCATGCCCCTTCCCCCCAGCTGTCAGTATTTGTCTCCTCAGCTCAGCTGATCCCACTGCTCTCTGTATGTGCTGCTGGTCTCATCAGCCTCTTACCCAGTCCTCCACCCTCCACTTCCCACTGATAGTGCCTCTATCCTGTCACAGGTGCTGCTGTGACAGGATGGCTCATTGCTCTCTACCCAACACATCATTAGGTTTCTCCCCTCAATCCAAACCTAGCCCTGCTCCTCCCTGCCTCAGTGACACTGGTCTCTGATCAAACCCTCGGCCTCCTCTAGCTGTCAATTCTGGCATTTCCACTTACCATTCTGACAGTTGTATTCTGATGCTGCATTCCCCTGATGCAGATTCTGCTAGTCCTGTCAGTTGGCTCCTCTAATTCCCCACTATGCCATAAAATGCCTCCCAAGACCTGACCATGGTCTTGATAGTTCCTTGATAGGGGATTCTGCTAGCATTGCCCAGCCCTTCCTCCACTCCCCCACTTGCTATCACACACTTTTGGGACCTGGCCCCATTCATCATATCTCTCCTAACCACAGGCTCTGATGACCTCCTCACCCTCCTCAAACCCTCGCACACCCCACCAGACCTGACCCCAGCCCTGATATTTCCCCCTGCCGCAGGTCCTGCTGGTCTCCTCCTCCAAGGAGCCGGACAAGTGGGTGGTGCCCGGTGGCGGGATCGAGCCCAACGAGCAGGCGCACCTGGCGGCGCTGCGCGAGGTCCGTGAGGAAGCCGGCGTCGAGGGCCACCTGGGCAGGTGCCTCGGGGTCTTCGAGGTGAGCGTGAGTACCTCAACGTTTCTACCTCTCTGCCGGGAGCTTTTGGCGAAGGAGCGGCTTGGTGAGGTGCGGTGGTATATTGCTTAGTAGTGCGTTTGAATAGCGTGCTCGTGCATCGTGCTTGAGGTGGGCACTGAATGCATAGTTGGATTGAGTTTGCTGCTTCGAGCTGATTGCTTGGCTGGCTTTTGATGGGGTGTTAACGGAGCTGGTTTTGTTGCGGGATCTAGGCGTTTTTATGCGTTGTTGTGCTTGTTTGTAGTAGCTGGTCCTCGTTTCAGATTTAAGCGCCTTTCGAAAGATTGGTATCGTTATTTCGGTATTCAAGAGCCACTCTAAAGACGGGTGTGTTCCACTTCACGTCAATCATCAGTCTAATCAGCTGTCGGGCTCAGCGATCCAGATTTGTCCGGTAAATGATGAGCAAGTAACCGAACCAATCGGCTGAGCGAGATACAGCTAAGCGCCTTTCTGTGTAGCCTTGTTGTTTATTGGGGCTTTAGGGCGCGTCGACTGCAAAGGCGTACCCGTGACTGATACCGTTTATGGCGAGACTGAATGGGCGAAAGGATAAAACAATGCACAATGGACCCATTTTTAACGTCTGACCTTTATCACGACTCAGATACCCAACGGTCGTTTAGTTAACGGTTGCATTTCGTAATTCGCTTATGCATTAATGCTAAAGTTGACGCTACAAGCCTTATTTAGTAAAAAAAGGAGAGAATATGTCAGCGTTGTGCCTTCAGTCAGGAAATCGTAGACCATGTGGCCATACCATACATATTGCTGATGCCTTCCAATCGCAGAAACTAGATTTTAAGGCCCTTATCGTAAAGGCTATCAAACTGACTCCTGCCCCGGTGCATTAAGTGCTTCCCCGCCCGCCACCCCGCCCGTCCAGACACTAATGAATGTTGTCGGTGTGCCGGCCCGTCGTCGGCATCCGACCCCAATTGACCAAACCCGTGTGGCGCCGCACAAGCGGTCGATGGCTTCGTGCCCGGGAAATTGACCTCGCCCTGACGGGAAGACTGAACGAGGATGGTGAGTGGGTGGTGTTTAGGATGAAAGGCCGATTAGAGGCCAGCTTGTTTGTTGGATAGGGACTGGAATATTGGACGGAGCTGATTGGTTTGTAAAACCGCACAAATTGGTATTCATATTTCCTACTATTTATTGCCGGAGATGTTGGAATAGCAGGCGAGAAGAAACAGGCGAGGAATGAATGACACCACTTTCAATATTTACACTTGCGCCACTTGCGTGCATTATCTAAACAAAGCTGACCAGTTACATTGCATTGCGGTGCTGCGTTAAACATCTCGCTGCTCTATAAATAATGATGGATTGAGTTACATCACCACATGACACATTGTATCGCCGTGGTAAGCTTACACGAGCTGTGCGCATGATCAGAGCAAACTCTGCTTTGATAAGTCTCGGTTAAAGTCCCACTAGAGCACCATTATTCGATAGCGAGACTATGCTTTGGGACTAGTTTGGAGTGGGCCACTCGGACGCAACCACTTGCAGCCATGAGTGTTTGCTTACAGCACTCATGATTGTTCACATGATGCATGCAACTATTTTCCGGGTGCCCTTTTTGACTACAGACACCGACGATATGTTTATATACATGTGGCAGTGGGTACGGACACAACGTACCGGGACTTATATGGCCCATATTTATCCAAAGTTCACATCGCATGCGGACTGGTTTTAGTCACTAGGTAAGTGACTGCAGCTTTGCATAGCTGACAAGCCTAGCATAATCATCCACAATGTAATGTGAGGATCAGTATTAAATTAGAACATAAGCGTCAATTGCGTCTCACTTGTTCGATGAATACAGTCTCGTCGGTTGAACGTCGGGGGAACAACGTCCAGACCATGAGGCGCCGCACCCACTTTCATACATCTCGTTTTTAGTGCCATCGATTTGCATAACCGGCGTACGTTGTGTCAGCGGTTACGATTTGAGTGCCGTTTTCCTCATGCAAAACGTTAGATAAGCGCCCGGTTTGAATTGCACGAACCTCATGGTGTAAACGGAGGCGCCGGCGAGGAGTTTTTGGGAATTCGTGTCCCTGAGCGGCGGGCGAATGGGCTCGTCTAGACGGAAATCATGTTGAGAAGTTCAGTCTGGGGTACCATTGGCGTCCAGACGTGCCGGTGGAGTCGGTAACGGCACCCCAGTCACCGGCCCCATTTCGACTGCAAAGGTCAGCCCGTCTCGGCTGAGCGGGGCCGAGAACCGCCGGACTGTGGTACTCAGACGACTGAGGCTCCAGTGTCCCCGCAACTGGGCTCCTGTGACTGAAAGATGCCGCCCACGCCTTCGGCGCCGGCGCCGGCGCCGCCCCTGTCACCCCAATGACGTCATACGGTGCACGGCCCGCCACGGACCCCTCGCGTGCCCCTGCGTACCCCTCTAGCCGCCCCGTCTGGCTGAGTGCCAACGGACCGTTATTTGTTGACGACACCTTCAATCCCCCCTCATCCCCTCCCCGCCGGGTACCTGCCCCGAGGCCTGAGACGGAGCGAGAGCCGCCGACCCCGGCCCGCCAGTGGGGTTACGTACACACAAGACGACATGTTTGTCGTCATGTTCAGGCCGACTGGCCGCTGGCCGGGCCCGGCCAGTGCTGC